GTTTTTTTCGTCGGCTCTTTCCTTTGGGCCTTTGCCTCTGGGGGTCGGTTCGCTGAGTTTTCTTGCTCCTTCGGTTTTAGCGTTTTGGTTGTTTGATGGCAGCAGTCTCCATCTTTTCTGGCACGGGGTGGGGCTGCTGTGTTCTGTAGGGGTCCAGGGTTTGTTGGTGCTTCGTTGGTCGGGCCGGGGGTGTGTCGTTTTTGTGTTCAGTGGCGGCCCTCCGCTGTTGTTTGCGTGCCACGGCGTTTGGGTCCGGAGCGCGTTTTGCGTTGATCCGGTTCTGTTCTTCCCGGTTCGCGGGTGATGGTGTCCCGGGTGGTCAGCCGTGTTCTTGCGGCTAAGCTGCCTGTGTTCTTCCCTCATGCCTGTGGCGTTCGTGGCTTCACTGCTCTCGCTGCCGTCTGGGCGACGTGGCCTTGCAGTCTTTCGGGCATGGATTTTTGGTGTTCGTGCAGGGGCCTTGCTGCTCGTGGTTCTTGTGTTGTTCCCGGGATTTTCGGGGCTGTGGCGCCTTGGGTTGGTGTTTTCTGCCGGTTGTCTCACCTCCTTGGGGGGTGCGTGGTGTCCGCCTCCCGGTTTTGTCCCTTTGACCTTCCTCTGTGGGTAGTTAGCTCCGGGGAGCCGATGGGGCTCCCCCCGGAAAACCAGCGTTGAATGTAATGAAACGCCATTTTCTGGGTGAGACCTGGAGGCTCCCCGGCAACCCTCCCTCCCTCCGGTCGGCGTTTTTCGCGTGTTTTGACATCCAGCCTCAGAACTGATGGGTGGATAGCCGGCGTGGGAGGTCTGGGGCTCCCCCTTCCCCCTCCTGGGGAGGGGGGAGCTGCGCAGACAGCAGCGCGGTGACGTATGACGTCATACTAGTTTCCTTGTTTTCTGTTGAAGAGTTCTATCCACTAGTTCGGCTTAGGTAGCAATTTTCACCAGAATAGGGGTTTGTTTTGGAATGCTTACCTTTCTGGATGCTTGACCCGGTCGATGGCAGACATAGAATGCTTCCAACCACACGGGGGTTTCTATAGGCCATTGCTCCCCTTGCCTCTCTGAGGGGGCCAGGTTCTGGCTAGTGGTCCCCGGTAGGCCCTAGAACTCCATACACATGACTGATGCCAAAGTCTGACATTAGCATATCAGCCGGTAAAGCTCCGGGGAGCCTCCGGGTCTCACCCAGAAAATGGCGTTTCATTACATTCAACGCTGGTTTTTTAATTTCTCTTCGTTCAGCTTCGCCATTCTGTCCTTTGTTGTTCCCAGAGTAAAGTGTTGTTTAGTTTTTGTCAGCTGCTTCCAGAGGTTGCCATTATTTCATTTCTGATTTGTTGAGAGTCCAACAGGGGTCGGTCTTGGCCCTCTTGGAAGGGTCAAACGAGCCAGGGCTCGGCTGCCTTGGGTTCAGGTAGGACAGTGGTGTCAGTTTCTTTGTCGGCAGAGGGGGGGCCCCATTTCTGTCTGTTTATCTGGTCGGCGTGGTGCTGGCTCTGCACTGAAGTCTGGTTCTCTGGGTTTGCTTTGGCCCTTTCACATGTAACCCTTATGATGGGGCGGGGGGGGGGGGGGTAGGCTGGCTCTGTTTGCCCAATCCTGGTCCCACAATTCGTGGGCTTTTCTGGTTGTGCCTTGTGGCCTTCAGTGGCAGTGGGCGACTGGTTGGTCCTTCAAAAGGGTCAGATTTGCTGCAACAAACCTTGTCCCCTTACATCCGTCAGGTCATCTTGGAATGGCTTTCTGGTTCTGACTCTGGACTGTGCAGCTCTTTAGTACAGTCTGGACTTGTCTTCTCTGAACTAGGTGATTACGTGCCCCTCCTTTCGGATGACCACGTTGTTCCGGATTCGGCTTGTTCTCGAGTCAGGCACTAGGATGATTTCCTTGGACTTCAAGGACACTTATTTGCACGTCCTTGTTCATCTGGGGTTCATGGATTGGTTAGGTTTCATAGTGGGGCAACATGCTTATCGCTATCATTGTCTTTCTTTTGGGCTGGACCTGGCACCTAGTCTTTTTACACACTAGACTCACGTCGTGGTGGCCCGTCTTCATCTGCTATGTCTTTGGGTTTTGGCCTAGCTCGACGACTGGTTGGTTTGGGCTCCCATCTGGTCTGTTTGTCAGCTAGCTCTTTCTCAGCACGCCGGGTTCGGGTTCCTGATAAACTGGAGGAAATCCTGGTTGGTTCTGTCCCAGGTTTAAACTTGGTTGGGCCTTGTTTGGGATTCTCGAACAGTTTCAATGTCTCTTCCCCCTATGGCCTTGCTTCGGCTGCAGTCCCGCCGTCAGCTGGTGCTGAGGGGTCCCAGGTGACTCAGTGGTTGTTTGAACAGCTGTGAGAGAACTTTGCCCTTTTGTTTTACCGGTTTGGCAGGGTTTGGCTCTGGAGGCTATTCTGATATCTTCAGGGCAGCCCCTTTTGCTGCTCTCATGATCGCCGGATCCATCCCCAGGTGTCCTTGTGGCGGTTGCTGTGTCACTGGCTTACTCCTCAGGCTTTTCAGGGTTTGGTGCCATGGTACCTTCCCCTTCCCTTGCTCGATGTTTTCATGGATGCCTCGGCATTCGGTTGGGGTTTTGTGACCAGTGCTCACAAGTTCAACCAGGAGCAATGGGCCCATCCTTTCATCAGGCTCACAGCACCGTGTGGAAGTTTACAACAGTGTGGCAGGTGCTGCAGGAGGTTTGGATTCCTCGAGGCTCAGTGATCCATCTCCATTCGGACTGTTTCCCCGTGGTTCATTGTCTCAATCGGGGAGAAGGGGCTTTCTTCGGTCTGTGCCTCTTTTGAGCTGGTCGCTGCGGGTAGTTCATCTACCGAGTTCTTGGGGTTTAGTTCTCCGCACTATTCACATTCAGGGCTAGTGAGTCTCGGGTTGTCTGCAGTAACAGACTGAGGTCTATCCTCGTGCCCATGATGTGCAGCTGTCTGCCACTCTGTTGGTTGTGTATGGTCACATGTATTGAGACGATCTTTGGGCATGTAGTTTTTGGGCTCCTCTTTGCCCTGATATCTATGTTGCTGCCAGCTTCCTGGTATGTCTCTGTTTTTCCTTCTCTGCTGGTAGTTAGCTTCAGGGAGCTGATAGGGTTTCCCACAGAAAACCAGCATTGAATGTAATGAAATGGCAGTTTTGGGTGAACCCCAGAGGCTCGCTGATGTAATGGGAGTGGAGGAAATAGCTCTCTTTAGTCCATTATCCTGCCCCTAATTAACTATTCTAGAGTTTCCTCAGAGTTCCTACTGCAACCTCACTAGTTCAACACCTTGTAACTTAGGTATTTGATTACCTAGGTGCTACACCCACAAGGCATTGTACCTTGATCAGCTACCTGCAACTCTAGAGAACTCTAGAACATTTCACTGCCATGAACATATAAGAGAAACGAAAGGAAAGAACTGAATAATGAAGTAATGAGTGAGGGATCGGGGTGAGATGTGGGAGGAGCTGGGAGGGTCGTCAGTTGAAAGGGAAAGTGGAGGAGAAGAGAGAGAGTATGGAGAATGAGTAGAGGTAGTGGTAGAGGTAGAAGGGTAGATAAGTAGAAGTAGAAAGTGCTGCCACCATCCATTCTAGTTCAGTATATACACAACAAGGAATGGAACTTGTCTGTACTTTAAGCTGTTAACCAATGTCATTATTAGCATGTTTCATCTGTGTCATGTATCTAGTACCATGCAAGACTCTTTAAGTCTATAATCTCAAGAGTACTCTACACTCTAGTTTGCATATTATATCCGAAAATCCCAGCAATAGGAACACAATTAAAATCAGATTAAAGAGTAAGTGAATCAAATATATATTTAAACAATAAATTCATCAGAATTCAATCAATTGAAGATTAATTAATAAGCTACGTGAGTCACCACATAAGACTTCACAGCTGTCTGCCCCTGATCATCACACAACACTTAAGTAAACACGACTAAGTCACCTTAACGTTCAACTCAGAGGACTGAGCTTAATTTGGATAGAGAGGGGGGGTGGAGGGGGTTGACAGGCAGAGACCCCACCCAGCCAGACAGCCTGGACTGGGTGCTGTTCATTGCTCTGCTCTGCTTCTGTTGTGCTGTATCCTATCCTCTCGAATCTCTAGTTCCCTGGGTATTTATCGGAAACCTGGTAGCTCACTCCGCCCACAAGTAGATAGCCCCAGGCCCTCTACCAAACCACACCTTAAACGGTGGCTTGTTAGAAGGACACGCCCGGCTATCAGGCTACAATTATCAGATTAGCAGATGCCAGGTCAGATCACACGACCTGACCATGGGTCAGTTTGTCGTCATTAACACTTCTAGGTGTGACTTTCTTAATTACTAGGGGCCGGCAGACTGTCGCCTCTCAAAATCTTGTCTGTGACTCATGTACTATGTATATATTAAATACAAAACACCTTTACGGTGTTACACTGACACCCTCCCTCGCTCCCTCGGATTGACGGCTTTTATCATTCAAGAATTAGCTGGTGGTGGCCTGGCTCCCTCCCTTCAATGAAGGGAGTGGAGCTAATAAGCGGGGAGCTAGTAGGACAAAGTTTTGGTTGTTTGTCTCTTGGGGGGGGGGGGGGTTCTTTTGATATTTAGATTTGTTTTCAATCTTTTTCAATCAATTTTTTCAATTGTTGCATTTTCAACTGAGCAGTAGTGGGTTTTGATTTGCCTACCTTGCTGGGTGCCTTCCATGGTCGATGGCAAGATGACAAGCTTTATGGCAAGCTTTATGGCGATGGCAAGCTTTAACTGTAAAGTGTTCATGAGCCACTGCTCCCTGCACCTCTCTGAGGGGGGGGGGCCAGGCTCTGGCTCGTGGTCCCGGTACGCATATAAGAACTCCACAACTGATGACACTCAAGTAGTATGGGGTATAATCAGTAAGTTAGCTTTAGGGAGCCTTTGGGAGTCAATCAGAAAGTGACATTTCATTACATTCAATGCTGGTTTTTTGAATCTCTAATGTTTTATTCTATATTTCTTCTGTATAGTATAATATTTCACTTGTATTATATTTAAGGTTCTGGGAGACCAGCAGGCAGCTCTGGTGGGGCAGATGTGTATGTCTCGAGGCCAGGCCAAGAATACATATGGTACAGGATGCTTCTTACTTTATAACACCGGAACGCAGGTATTTTACAATATAAGTTTTTAGTGATGCTTGTTATTCAAACATTGTACTCTACTTTTCAAAGTATATTGAAAAAGTATACAAAGTATATATGTATTTTCAAAGTATATTGACCCCGACTGCGAGGCAGTCAGGGTCGATGCCTTTTGCCTAAAAATGAGGTAACATTTTCATTGATATATCACACCATTGTGATTTCATTGTGATGTATGTGTGTGTACTCACCTAGTTGTATTGACCTAGTTGTTCTTACAGGGGTTGAGCTTTGGCTCTTAGGTCCTGCCTCTCAATTGTCAATCTACTATTGTACAGATTCCTGAGCCTACTGGGCTCTATCATATCTAAATTTGAAACTGTGTATGGAGTCAGCCTCCACATCATTATTTCCTAGTACATTCCATTTACTAACTACTGACACTTAAAAAAGTTATTTCTAATGTCTCTGTGGCTTATTTGGGTACTCAGCTTCCATCTGTCCCCTTGTGGACACAGACATGTGTGGCATTGTTTTTTCAAGAAAAAGCATAGTTTTACCTGTTACAGGTGTGGCATTTATACTTATACTTACGAAATGAACGGTATGGTAAACAACATGGCTCAATTCCAACACAATGTCACACAAAATAATTCACTAAAAAATAAAATAAATCAAAATCTATGAAAATAAAATTTATCAGTGCAATCAGAAACATTGAAATGGAATTCATGACATATTTAGTATAGCGTGCATGTTTCCATTATGTGCAACAGATGGCGTTGTTTTTCAAAAATGCATGTTTTTACCTGTCACAGGGGTGGCATCAATATAGTAGATAAAAAGACGCACCTATTCGAATGCAACGTTGTGTCAAAATTTCAAAGCAATTGGTGAAGAACTTTTGGCGATTACAGCGTGTGTTGCTCTAACGTCCAACAGATGGCGCTGTTTTTAAAAAAAAAGCATGTTTTCTGGGGGGAGCCCCTACGGCTCCCCGGAGTTATCCATGGCTGATATTAATAACCTAACTATTTTGCATCAGTCGCTGTGGGTGGAGTTCTAGCCTACCGGGGACCACGAGCCAGAACCTGGCCCCCCTCACAGAGGCACGGGGAGCAATGGCCCATAGAATTGCACATGTGATTTGGAGCATTCTATATCTGCCATTGACCAGGACAGGCACCCAGAAAGGTAAGCGCCTCAAAACAAACCCCTATTCTGGTTAACAACGAAAATCGACAAATGAGTGGACAGAACTCTTCAAAAGAAAAACGAGCAAACCAGCATGACGTCACACGAGCTCCGCCGCATGTCTGCGCAGCTTCCCCCTCCCCGGGAGGGGGAAGGGGGAGCCCTAGACCCCCGAGCCGGCGATCCTTGCCCCAGTTCCTCGGCTGATAGGATAGTGCATGGTCGTGTGGCTCCAGCTCCAGTCTTGTCTCAGTGCTGTGCTTTGTTTTCAGTAATTACCTAAGTGTAGTTACAGGATGAGAGCTACGCTCGTGGTGTCCCGTCTTCCCAGCACTCTTTGTCATATAACGCTTTAAAACTACTGACGGTCTTTGCCTCCACCACCTTCACACCTAACTTGTTCCAACCGTCTACCACTCTCTTTGCGAAAGTGAATTTTCTTATATTTCTTCAGCATCTGTGTTTAGCTAGTTTATATCTATGATCTCTTGTTCTTAAAGTTCCAGATCTCAGGAAATCTTCCCTATCGATTTTATCAATTCCTGTTACTATTTTGTATGTAGTGATCATATCACCTCTTTTTCTTCTGTCTTCCAGTTTTGGCATATTTAATTGCTGCTCAGTGCTGCTCTTACGGTGGTCATGTGAGCTGGGAGTAGTATTCTCAGGTACTCGGGCTGCATGTGCTTAGGGTCACCTTCCCTGAGTGCCCTGTAAGTACCGCCCTTGGGGCTTGGGGTTGCCTTCCACAAGTCACCTTGGGTCTACCTCTGTTGGCTTTTCGCTGCTTGGTGTTTGGCCGCCCCGAGGGTTTGGGGGGTTTCACTCCCTTGTTTACCTTGGGGTAAGTGGTAGTTATAGCACTGATGGGGCGCAGGGTACTGCGTAGCTAGTTTTCACCTATAACAGCGGCTGGCTCTGTTCCCACAGGGTACGTTGTCCTCTTGCGTTTTTTTTTTTTTTTTTTTTTTTTTTTTTTTTTTTTTTTTTTTTTTTTTTTTTTTTTTTTTTTTTTTTTTTTTTTTTTTGCCTGGTTGGGTGGGGGGGGGGGTTTGCCATGTCTTTTTCCGTCCCCCATATATTAGGGTCGTTTGTGTGGGGGGCACCCCCTGCTTAGCCCTCGCGAGTGGACACGTCCCGTGGGTTCAGCTTTTAGCAGTTTGCTTGGTAGTTTGGGATGCCGGTTAGCAGTGCCCTGTCTGGGATAACCCTTAGCATTGGGGCCCTGGAAATCCCCGCGGGGGCTCGCGGGTCCAATGGAGAGACTCTTGCGTCCCCTCTCGCTGTGTGCTAGTTTGAGGGTTGCTCTGTCCCCTTGTCTCAGGGTGACTCTCATTGTTTTTGCCTCCTTCATGCTGCCTGTTGGGTCGGTGACACATTCGACCCTGAGTCTTGCGAGCTGTGCTGCTTGTTCGTGACTCAATTCACCCAATCTGCTGATGATTTACTTCAGGTGCAGGCAGCTCGTGCGTTGCAAGGTAGGTTTACGTTGATGCAACGCGCTTGGGTTATCGCTTCCCCGGATGCCCCGAGGCTGCCCCACTTTCTGTATAGGGACCCGGACTTGGGGGTGTCGGTCGCTTCGGCCATTGTTCCGTCCGCACCCCCTTGTTCTTCTCCTTCGGTGGTTCATTCTGTCCTCCCCCCCCCCCCCTGCTTCCGGCCCCTAAGCGTTTGAGGGCTTCAGGGTCGGGGTGGGGTTTAGAGGTTTCTGAGACTCGGGCAGTTTCGGGGATTGCCTTGTCCGGGTTAGCTACGGAGACATTCGAGTCTGTTCCTCCGGCCGATGCTCCAGGGTCTGACCAGTGGGCCCCTTCTCTTCCGGCTCTTTCGGCTGCCCCGGCATTTTCTTGTGAGGCCAGGGCTTTGGAGGATGGCTCGGCCTCCTGGGGTTGGGGAGGAGCTGACTTGGGGGCCTTTTGCTCCTTTGGACCCCGCCTGGATTTTCCGTCCTTCTGAGCAGGGCTTACTGTTTCAAGGAGTGGGGTTCTCTTTTTTCCCCCTCTGTGTACGATTTGGACTTGGGTTCTGCTCCTCCCCGGGTTCGGTTCCGTCCTTCCAGAGGTTTTTGGCTACCCGCATCTCTCCGCCTGAGGTGCAGTCGGCCTTTGCGGCTTACCTCCTGTGTGACCCGGAGTACACCTCCATAATGGATCCTTCTTCTTTCAGGTTTGGATCGCCGTGTCCTTACTGGGTGCTTTATGAGGTTCCGGGGTTGTCCTGGCTTGCAGACTCCCCCTTGTTTTCACTGGATGCTTGGGACTCGTTCTGTTGGACCCGCACGTTTGAGTGGCGTGAGGCGTTGACAGTGGTCCAGGTTTACCTGGGGGGGGGGGGCGGTTTTGAGAACCTTAATGAGTGTCTTTTCGCTCCTGCCCTTCTGCGGGATGTTGGTGCGGTGCAGCACCGTGTGCAGGTTCCTTTCCTGTTAGCTGCTTTTATGGCAGAGGATTTGCGCACTCGTGACTTTTTGGCTTCGGTCCTGCGTTTCTTTTCCCTCCTCGAGCTGTCGTTGGATTGGCTTGCTGAGGATGTTGAGGCACTTGGGGCCGTTCCTGGGTCTGACGCCTTGGTCTCAGCTGCTCGGGCGTCATCTGCCATGTTGAAGCTCTTTGCGCCGATCCTGCAGGAGGCGTTGCTGCAGTTTTTCGCTGCGCGTTTCACGTGTTGTCAGGTGGTCCTTGCTTCCTCCTTGGAATCCGTTTGGGCCCCTGGTTCGTAGGTTGTCTTCTCCCTTTTGTCCTCTGCTTTTTGAGGCTTCTGCGGTTGAGCGTTATATTCAGGCGGCTTTTTCCTCTTGCCGCCCTATGTCTGAGTTGTTGGTTTTCCGGGGGAACCGGGGGGTTCCTTCCCAGCGGGGTCATATCAGGGCTCGTGGATCGGCAGTTGCAGCCAGTTGTCTCGACTTTGAGTTGAGGAGCGAGTGCCGACCGCCTCCTGGGTAATTCCGTATTGTTTTTGTCTTTGGGTAAGTAGCTCCGGGGAGCCATAAGGGCTCCCCCCAGAAAACTAACGTTGAATGTAATGAAACGCCATTTTCTGGGTGAGATGCTAAGACTCCCTGGCAACCCTCCCTCCCTCAGGTCGGCATGTGTTTTTGCAGTCTTGACATCCAGCCTCAGAACTGCAGGGTAGATAACCAGCATTGGGGTCTGGGGCTCTTCAACCCTTCCCCCTGCCAGGGAGGGGTGGGGGGGGGGGATGATTACGCAGACAGCGGCGCGGCTATGTGGTGATGTCATGCTCGTTTGCTCGTTTTCATTTGGGAAGTTCTGTCCACTAATTCAGCTTTCAGTAGCAATATTTTAACCAGAATAGAGGTTTGTGTTGGGGAGCTTATCTTTCTGGGTGCCTGACCTGGTCGATGGCAGACATAGAATGCTTCCAACCTCACGGGGGTTTCTATAGACCATTGCTCCTTGTGCCTTTCTGAGGGGGGGCCAGGTTCTAGCTCGTGGTCCCCAGCAGGCCTAGAACTCCATACGCATTGACTGATGCCAGGGGTCTAATACATTGATATTAGCCCGAATAGCTCCAGGAAGCCTCCGGGTCTTGCCCAGAAAATGTCATTTCATTACATTCAACACTGGTTTTCTTTATACAGATTGTGCAGAGTGAACATGGTCTTCTCACCACAGTTGCCTACAAATTTGGCAAAACTGCTCCAACTATTTATGCCTTAGAAGGTTCTGTTGCTATTGCTGGAGCAGCTGTGCGCTGGCTCAGAGACAACCTCAGCGTAATCAAGACGTCTGCAGATATTGAACCATTAGCCAAGACCGTTAAGGACTCGGGAGGTGTTTACTTTGTTCCGGCCTTTTCTGGTTTATACGCACCTTATTGGCGCACTGATGCAAGAGGGTGAGTAACCTAAATGTATTTCCAGAGCGATAAATACAGTACGGTATAGTGATTATTTCTCTATTCCTATATAAATCATTCCATTATATGTGAAGTCCCTGGAACAAACCTAATTTATAAAGTTATTCAGTGTTAATAAATTTACATTGCAGTAACCATAGGGAAGCAGTAAGAGTACTGTAATGCTTCCTTTTCTTTTCTCCGTCTATCTGACAATTTGCTCATTTTCCCAACTTCATCGTTTCCTTTGAATCGATAATAATAATATAATAATAATATTGAGGAACTCATTTGAAGCAATGGGGAGTCTTGAACCAGTAATCTGGATACTCTTGTCATACACTTCACCCCCTCCATTATGCCATGGTTACACTGAACCCACAAGACATCTGGAGGCCATTTCTGAAGCCACTCCAAGTTTTACTTGTAACCCCCATGCACTCTGGTGTGGGTAAAGGAGTTCATTAACCCCTGGACGGCACTGCTGCTAATCAGCCGACAACTCTGCTGTGCGCAAGAAAAAAATAACAAATGAATTATTTTAACCACTGCACTGCATACCTGTTTTGGCAAAAACTTCATAGTGCAGTTGATTAGGACATATTTTTGTTATCTTTATAAATGTTCAGGTAAAGTTAACCCCCGGGCTGCTCTTGTGATTATAGCTTGCAACATGCAAGAAATAAATACAAAAAAAAAATTGTCTTATAAACGTGTTCATTTGTGTTCCCTGACCACAGGAAAAATAATGCAAAAATCGTTGATGACATGTTTTGGCCGCAATAGGGTGAGGAAGTATTGCAAAAAATGAGGTGTTGACAGAACAATTGGCACAGGCGGTCCGCTGTGCCTGAGCTGTCAGGCGGGAGTTGCCACAAAGATATTATTATCTAATTATTTCAATGTCTCCGATCGATTTTTTCTTACTTTCTTTGCAGTAATATTATTCAGTAGTGTGTAGTGTGATATATTTGTATAATAAAATGTGTGAATCATCACTATACTCAAAAGTATGTGTGCATATTAGTGATTCAAGTATTATTAAAACTATAAACAAATAGTTTTGCTGTTATTGCACTATATATACAGGTTATATATTAAGTATCTGCATGTTTTGTTCATCATACCAAACCACTAAGTTGGTATGGTGAGTCCAAACATACAAGAGTGGGCTGCACACCCAGCCAGCCCTCCCTCACTCCTCCAACACATAACTCACCATCATTACTCCTCCCACAATACTGTTTGTGGTTTTATGACACTATATATGCATATTATATATAAGTATCTATATGTTTTGTTCACCATAACTGTACAACTAAGCTAGTATGGTGTCCAAACAACATAGTGGTAACAAAACACTGCATGACAAGTCACACAGCAGCCAGCAGAAAATGCTATGAGACAACGCCACCTCTCCCTCCCTAAGGGGCCTCGTAGCCTGGTGGATAGCGCACAGGACTCGTAATTCTGTGGCGCGGGTGCGATTCCCGCACGAGGCAGAAACAAATGGGCAAAGTTTCTTTCACCCTGAATGCCCCTGTTACCTAGCAGTAAATAGGTACCTGGGAGTTAGTCAGCTGTCACGGGCTGCTTCCTGGGGGTGGAGGCCTGGTCGAGGACCGGGCCGCGGGGACACTAAAGCCCCGAAATCATCTCAAGATAACCTCAAGATAACCTCCCTCCCTCCCTCCCTCCTCCCACCGTACTATGCACATCGCTAATTCTCACCACAATGCTGCTATTATCAGAATCCTGGTCACTAAATCCAGTGAATGAATAATTTTTCACAAGTTTATTTTGTAAGAGAACATGAGAAGTCATTTGAAGATTCTTAGATGGACAAAATAATTACAGTATGCTGTGGTTAGTGCTGTGAACATCTTGAACAGGAGTGCATTCACTGATATCTGAACCTTGTACACAGTCTTTATCACAGTCAGGCTCTTCTGTAATACTATCATATTGAAACCTTTAACCCTTAAACTGCGAAACACGTCATGTGACGTGGTTATTTACCCAAAAGTGCACATCACGTCATATGACGTGTTGGAGTACTATGCAAAATTTAAACGGCCCGCAGATACACAGGGTTCACCTTGTCTTTATCAGGGCTCTTGTAAACAGACGCCATTTAAAAAAAAATCGTGGGCAACGTTCCGGGTGTTAGGGTCTCAGTAACCAAGAGGTTACTGAGCCACCAAGGCTTGTGCACGCAGCATGCGCTCACAGCACTGCTGTTCAGCTTGTGACCACAACATTGCCTAAAATTGTCAAAACATATATGTACATGCTATTATATAGTGATGATAGTATTACAGAAGACCCCTGACTGTGATAAAAATGACCAGGATTCTGATAATAGCAGGATTGTTGTGATAATTAGCGCTGTAGTGGGAGGAATAATCTTGGTGGGGAGGGAGGTAGTGTTGTCTGCTGACTCTGTGTGACCACCTTTTACTGTCTGGACTCACTATACCAGCTTAGTGGTTCACAATGGTGAACAAAACGTGCAGATGCTTATATACAACGTCTGTATATAAAAGCAAAAACAGTATTGTGGGAAGAGAATGTTGGCGAGTCAGGTGAGGTGAGGGAGAGATGGAGTGGCAGCCAGTGACGGGCTAGCTGGTGTGTGGTAATTACCTAAGTGTAGTTACAGGATGAGAGTTATGCTCGTGGTGTCCCGTCTTCCCAGCACTCTTTGTCATAAAACGCTTTGAATTTACTGACGGTTTTGGCCTCCACCACCTTTTCACCTAACGTGTTCCGTCTACCACTCTGTTTACAAAAGTAAATTTTCTTACATATCTCCGGCAGCTTTGTATCGTTAGTTTAAATTGTTTAAATAAGTTTAAATGACCTCTTGTTCTTGAAGTTCCGGGTCTCAGGAATTCTTCCTTATCAATTTTATCGATTCCTGTTACTAATTTGTACGTAGTGATCATATCGCCTCTTTTTCTTCTATCTTCTAGTTTTTGCATATTTAATGCTTCTAACCTTTCCTCGTAGCTCATGCCCTTCAGTTCTGGGAGCCACTTAGTGGCATGTCGTTGCACCTTTTCCAGTTGATGTGCTTCTTAAGATATGGGCACAATACAACCGCTGCATATTCCAGCTTTGGTCTAACAAAAGTTGTGAACAATTTCTTTAGTATTTCTCCATCCATGTATTTAAAAGCAATTCTGATGTTAGAAAGTGTAGCATAAGCTCCTTGCACAATGTTCTTAATGTGGTCCTCAAGTGACAGTTTTCTATCTAGAACCACCCCTAGATCCCTTTTTTTGTCCGAATTCTTTAAAGATTTCTCACATAATTTATAAGTTGTGTGGGGTTTATGTTCTCCAATTCCACATTCCATAACATGGCATTTATTCACATTAAATTCCATTTGCCAAGTGTTGCTCCATATACTTATTTTTGTCCAGGTCCTCTTGAAGGGCATGACAATCATCCAGGTTTCTTATCTTCCCTATTATCTTAGCATCATCAGCAAACATGTTCATATAATTCTGCATTTCAACTGGTAGATCGTTTATGTAGACAATAAACATCACTGGTGCAAGAACTGAACCCTGTGGTACTCCACTTGTGACATTCCTCCAATCTGATACCTTGCCTCTGATTACGGCCCTCAATTTTCTGTCAGGAAATTTTTCATCCGTGTTAGAAGCTTACCTGTCACCCCTCCAATATGTTCGTTTCCAGAACAACCTCTTATGTTTAACTCTGTCGAAAGCCTTTTTTTAGGTCCAGATAGATGCAGTCAACCCAACCATCTCTTTCTTGTAAAATCTCTGTGGCTCGATCATAGAAACTTAGTAAGTTCGTTACACAGGATCTTCCAGGTCGAAAACCATACTGTCTGTGTGATAATATATCTTTTTCTCCAGGTGTTCTACCCATTTAGTTTTAATTATTTTTTCCAATATTTTGACTATTACACTTGTCAATGATACAGGTCTATAATTAAGGGGGTCTTCCCTGCTGCCACTTTTGTAGATTGGAACTATGTTAGCCTTTTTCCACACATCAGCTACAACTCCTGTAAACAGGGATGCCTGAAAAATCAGTTGTAGTGGAGTGCTGAGCTCAGGTGCACATTTTCTCAGAACCCATGGTGAAACTCCATCTGGACCAACTGCTTTGTTCTTACTTAGCTCCTTGAGCATTTTTTCCACTTCGTCTCTAAACACCTCTATGTGCTTCATGTTGTTCTCTGAAATTCTTATTTTGTCTGGTTCCCTGAAGGTTTCATTTTGTACAAACACACTTTGGAACTTTTCGTTTAATGTTTCACACATTTCCTTTTCATTTTCCGTGAATCTATTTCCCATTTTCAACCACTGAATATTATCCTTTACCTGCAATTTGTTGTTTATGAATTTATAGAATAGACCTGGTTCTGTTTTACGATTGTCTGCAATCCCTTTTTCAAAATTTCTTTCTGCCTCTCTCCTCACTGCTGTGTAGTTGTTTCTCGCATCTTTGTATCGCTGGTATGTTTGGGGGTTTGGCCTCTTCCTGTATTGATTCCATTCTTGTGTCTTTTGGTCTCTGGCCCTCTCGCAATTTCTGTTAAACCAATCCTGTTTCCTAGTTCTGCATCTCTGTTTTGGTATAAAGTTTTTTGTGCCTTTATCATATATTTCACAAAACTTGACATACATCTCATTTACTTCCTTGCCTAGCAGTAAGTCTGCCCAATTATACTCACTAAAAAAAATTCTAAAGTAGCCATAAAGTCCTCTCCTGAAGTCAGGTTTTTCAACTGCTTCAACCTCCTTATTTTCTTCTTGATTATAATGCATTGCATACTTTATTCCCAAAAAGACATGGTCACTTTTAACCAAGGGAGGAAGGTACTGAATGTCAAATATCTCTTCCTCCTTCCTGGTAAATATATAATCTAGCATGTTGGGAACATCCCCTTCTCTCATCCTCGTAGCATGTTTAACATGTTGATACAAGAATGTTTCCAGGATGAGGTCTACAATCTACAGGTTCAAAAATCCTCTGTTCTAGCTTCACATGCTTCCCAGTCTATGGATTTCAAGTTGAAGTCACCGACTATCAACAGTCGTGATCTATCGTTATCCGCTCTCGCTATAATCTCTCTCATTATAGTTATAAGACCTTCTCATTTACTATCTAGCTCCTCCTTTGACCATGTGCTGCTTGGCGGTGGACTATATGCGTTTATAATCATTAGTTTATCATCCTCATGGCAGATCTCTAGTGCTATTACGTCAACTTCTTGTGGATTGGTAATCATTATATCGTTCACCTTTAGGTGTTCTTTTACCAGCACAGCAACACCACCCCCCTTTCCTAATTTTTCTGTCACATCTCCAAATTGAGTAGCCCCTTGGGAATATGACCTCATTTAAAATAACATCTTCAAGTTTTGTCTCCGTGAGTGCAACAATGTCTGGTGTCTGCAGCTGTATTACATCACTTAACTCCAGTATCTTCGATCTTATCTTGGCCCTGTCTCTTTTGTTCCCGTTTGCTGCCTGTCTTCCTCGTTCCTCATCTTCCTTCTATGCTCTTGTCCCTAGCTGCTGATGCTGGGGCTGTTTCTCTAGTCCGTATGGCTTGTTATACTGTATCCAATTCAGGTCATTTGATCTGCAGGGGAATATGTGTGGGGTTGTTGGATTGTTTTGCGTGCAGGTTACTCATCAGGGTTTGCCATCTGCGAGAAGCCATGCACAAGTTAGTTTACACTTGTTTGTGTTGTGGTAACTTATAGTGTCAAGCGATGTAATAGTTCTGATGTTCCCTTGCCCCTCTCGTTGCACATTGTTGTGTGATCTCATATGTGCTTCTTGGCTCTCCTACTGGTAGGTTAGACTTTGTCCATGTTCAGTTCCCTGCTTTTGCTCCGCCCTTATGTTTTGTTCTTTCCCGGCTTGCCAGGTTTGGGTTCCTGGTTTCCTGGCTTACCCTGCCAGTTGGCATTTTCAAGATCTTGTGGTGTCACGTCTCATGAGTCTCGCATCAGAACCACAGTTTCTCTGATCCCTTGGCGAGCTCGCTAGCATTGGGAAGTTTTCTGTACGGCAGACGTTCCTTCTCATTCCTTGACGGCTTGGGTTTTTGGCTTTGCTTGCTCATTAATCGCACCCGAGGTTTTCCCGCGGCTCTGCCTCTTGCTATGCTCGATCGGTCCATGGCGGGGCTGGTTCGGTTCTGCTTTGAGTCTCTCACCGTCTGTTGGTGGTCAGATGGCTTCGTTGAGGGTGTCCCACCTGCGTGCTTCGTCTTGGCAGTGGTGTGGAGTTTTTTTGGCGGTCCTTCCTTTTTCTTTCTGTCCCTTCATCGGTTTGCTATGTTTTCTTGGTGTCCTCTTGTCCTTCTCTTGTGGATGTTCGGGGCCGTCATCTTGCCACATACTGGGGCCTTGTCTCGTGCGGCGCTGGCGGAGCCGCTCCTGGTTGCTTCGGTTTAGGAGTGTCCTCTGCATCCCTTCATGAGCCTTCTCTGGCGTGGTTCACCTCCGGCCTGCTCTTGCGCCGCTTGAGCCGTCCTGGTTCTTGGATTGCGTGCTCTTTTCTCTTCTCGGTTTGTTGTGGCCCCTTCGGTTCTGAGTTGTTTTCTAAGGCTCTTTTCTTCTTGGTGTTGGCCTCTGGGGGTCGGGTTGGAGTGCTTCATGCCCTCCTCCGGCGCCTGGGTTTCGGCTCTTTTTGGTTCTCCTGATAGGTTTGTTCGCTTGCAGCCGTCTCCTTTTCTGGCGAAGACTGGCTCTGCTGCTTTTCGGAGGGGTACTTGGGTTGTTTGATGCTTGGTTGGTCTGGCCGGGGGTGCATCGTGTGTTGTGTTCGGTTGCGGCACTTCACCATGCTTAGCGAGTGACGACTGCCATGACCGGGTTCACTTCTTCCCTGTTCCAGGGTGTGGTTCTCTCGGGTCGTCCATGGGGGGTTCGGTCCTGCCCAAGTCGTTCGTTTATTGGCTCTGCGTTCCTTCGTTGATGTTCCTGGGCCTTGTCGAGCCTGTGTGGCCTTGGGTTGGCAGTTGCAGTTTTGTCTCCACTTCGCATTGGGGTGTGTGCGACTTCCGCCTCCCGGGTTAGGACCCTCTTGTTTTCGTCTTTGGGTAAGTTATCTTGAGATGATTTCGGGGCTTTTTAGTGTCCCCGTGGCCCGGTCCTCGACCAGGCCTCCACCCCCCAGGAAGCAGCCCATGACAGCTGACTAACATCCAGGTACCTATTTTACTGCTAGGTAACAGGGGCATAGGGTGAAAGAAACTCTGCCCATTGTTTCTCGCCAGCGCCTGGGAGCGAACCCAGGACCACAGGATCACAAGTCCAGCGTGCTGTCCGCTCGGCCGACCGGCTCCTAGCGGTCGGTAGCTCCGGGGAACCGATTCCCAGAAAACCAGCGTTGAATGTAATGAAACACCATTTTCTGGGTGAGACCCGGAGGCTCCCTGGCAAGCCTCCCTCCCCCCGGTCGGTGGTTTTTCACGTGTTTTGATATCCAGCTTCAGAACCGAGAGGTGGATTGCCAGCACAGGGGTCTGGGGCTTCCCCTTCCGGGGAGGGGGGAGCTGCTACGCTGCACTGCTGTCTGCAGCAGTGCGGCGACGTGTGACGTCATACTCGTTTGCCTGTTTCTGTTTGGGGAGTTCTATCCACTTGTTCAGCTTTTCATAGCAATTTTCACCAGAATGGAGGTTTGTTTTGGGACGCTTATCTTTCTGGGTGCCTGACCCAGTCAATGGCACACATAGAATGCTTCCAACCACACGGGGGTTTCTATAGGCCATTGCTCCTTGTGCCTCTTCTGAGGTGGCCAGATTCTGGCTCGTGGTCCCTGGTAGGCCCACAGAACTCCATACACATGACTGATGCCAAAGTCTGACATTATCATATCAACCTGGATAGCTCTGGGGAGCCTCCGGGTCTCACCCAGAAAATGGCGTTTCATTACATTCAATGCTGGTCTTTTAGGCTGTAGTCGTGTTCTAACCATGCAGTACTGTCTGTTTTGTTTCTCTGACTCTCTGCATGCTTTTCTTGGCGGTGGCAGCAGACATTAATGACTTTAACTGTTAGGTGTTCATAGTGCCAATGCTCCCTGCACTTCTCTGAAGGGGCCATGTTCTGGCTTGTGGTCCCCAGTAGGCCAATAAGAACTTTGCAACTGATGGCACTGAATCAGTGTAATAGCTTCAGGGAGCTACATGGGCTCTTCCCCCAGAAATTGGGTTTAGTGGGTGAGCTATGGAAAAGATCAAGGCTGATATTTCAAACTCTCAGTTCAGAAGTCATGGTCTCCTGGAGAATATCCATCATATGAGAAGATGAAATTGATATTTATCAAAGTAGATTATATGCATGAAATATGAGAAATAGGATAACTTGTACTGTCTTATATTGTTGCATTTGCATTTGTAGACTTGATGATGAGTGCAACATAATTATGTGGAGTTGGAACTGCAGGAAAACTACTGACCATATTTTAGATCAAATTATGTTGCTGTTTCCATTTACCGCTTGACACTCTTGACATTGTTCTTCCCACTTTAAACCAACCCAAATTTTTTTTTAATTTAACGTGTAGAATTGGACCTGAGTAAATCCTACTACACAGAACTGGGGAGTGTACTGCATGACGTGTGATATTTATTAATTCGTGCTTGGAAAAATACAATGTTTACTACTTTTATAGGACCATATGTGGCTTGACTCAAGGCAGCACTGGAGCTCACTTGGCACGAGCTGTGCTTGAAGCAGTTTGCTTTCAAACTCGAGAAATCCTAGACTCTATGCAAAAAGACTCTGGCATTGCCCTTAACAAGTTGCAAGTAGATGGTGGGATGACGTGTAACAATACTCTAATGCAGTTGCAGGCAGATATTGCAGGTGTACCTGTTGGTAAGCATTTACAAATAGTTTGCATTTGCAAATATTCTATATAATGTTGCCATGATTAAGTTTTCTATTACTGTATTTAATATGCCTAATGAAATCATTGATATGGTTGCTGCATTTTATAGCATTCAAAATTTTATAACTCTTCTTATATTGTCATCTACTATGCTTTTGTCTCTCATTTACTTGTTGTTAAGCTTCTTTAATTACCAAGTTCCTGACAGTATCCCACAGGCTTCTCATTTGTGTTATACCTTTGTTGTTATTTTTTAAGTGCTCTACAAATTAGTAAATACCTCATACATGTGTACCAAATGAACGTAGAACATTTCTGAACAGAGGCTTTAAATTGATACTGTGCTGCATTTGAAAGGATCAAGAGAAGACTGAACCACAGACTCGTGTGGCTCATTAGATAACCGTGCAAAGCCATCAAATGAGCGAGACATTGCTTATGCTGATCACCAAGCCAGTACCCTTATCACAGGTAAAAAGATCTGCTGGCCTTGGATATCAATGTACACACATTCTGACCTCTGAAAAATAATGCATTAATCCTACCTCTGTGCCTCAAAACTCCACACACTCATTCATAACAAATTATTTCAAGCTTAGAATATTATTTTAATTGTTTGGACATCTGGGACAAACTCCCCTGTGTTGTTTCCCTTGTTTCTTTCAGTGAAAGTGCATGCCAGATGTTGTTAAAATGTAATTACCTAAGTAATTACCTAAGTGTAGTTACAGGATGAGAGCTACGCTCGTGGTGTCCCGTCTTCCCAGCACCCTTTGTCATATAACGCTTTGAAACTACTGACGGTCTTGGCCTCCACCACCTTCTCACCTAACTTGTTCCAACCGTCTACCACTCTGTTTGCAAAAGTGAATTTTCTTATATTTCTTCGGCATCTGTGTTTAGCTAGTTTAAATCTATGACCTCTTGTTCTTAAAGTTCCAGGTCTCAGGAAATCTTCCCTATCGATTTTATCAATTCCTGTTACTATTTTGTACGTAATGATCATATCACCTCTTTTTCTTCAGTCTTCTAGTTTTGGCATATTTAATGCCTCTAACCTGTCTTCGTAGCTCTTGCCCTTCAGTTCTGGGAGCCACTTAGTAGCGTGTCTTTGCACCTTTTCCAGTTTGTTGATGTGCTTCTTAAGATATGGGCACCACACAACCGCTGCATATTCTAGCTTTGGCCTAACAAAAGTCGTGAACAATTTCTTTAGTATATCGCCATCCATGTATTTAAAAGCAATTCTGAAGTTAGAAAGCATGGCATAGGCTCCTCGCACAATATTCTTTATGTGGTCCTCAGGTGATAGTTTTCTATCTAGAACCACCCCTAGATCTCTTTCTTTATCAGAATTCTTTAAAGATTTCTCACATAATATATAGGTTGTGTGGGGTCTATGTTCTCCTATTCCACATTCCATAACATGGCATTTATTAACAGTAAATTCCATTTGCCAAGTGGTGCTCCATTTACTTATTTTGTCCAGGTCATCTTGAAGGGCATGACAATCATCTAAGTTTCTTATCCTTCCTATTATCTTAGCATCATCAGCAAATATGTTCATATAATTCTGTATACCAACTGGTAGATCATTTATGTAGACAATAAACATCACTGGTGCAAGAACTGAACCCTGTGGTACTCCACTTGTGACATTTCTCCAGTCCGATACATTGCCTCTGATCACTGCCCTCATTTTTCTATCGGTCAGAAAATTTTTCATCCACGTTAAAAGCTTACCTGTCACCCCTCCAATATTTTCCAGTTTCCAGAACAACCTCTTATGTGGAACTCTGTCAAAAGCCTTTTTTAGGTCCAGATAGATGCATTCAACCCAACCATCTCTTTCTTGTAATATCTCTGTTGCTCGATCATAGAAACTGAGTAAATTCGATACACAGGATCTTCCAGATCGAAAACCATACTGACGGTCTGATATTATATCATTTCTCTCCAGGTGTTCTACCCATTTAGTTTTAATTATTTTTTCCAATATTTTGACTATTACACTTGTCAATGATACAGGTCTATAATTAAGGGGGTCTTCCCTGCTTCCACTTTTGTAGATTGGAACTATGTTAGCCTTTTTCCACACATCAGCTACAACTCCTGTATACAGGGATACCTGAAAAATCAGTTGAAGTGAAATGCTGAGCTCGGGTGCACATTCTCTCAGAACCCATGGTGAAACTCCATCTGGACCAACTGCTTTGTTCTTATTTAGCTCCTTGAGCTTTTTTTTCACTTCGTCTTTAGACACCTCTATGTGCTCTATGTTGTTCTCTGCAATTCTTATTGTGTCTGGTTCCCTGAAGATTTCATTTTGTACAAACATACTTTGGAACTTTTTGTTAAATGTTTCACACATTTCCTTTTCATTTTCCGTGAATCTATTTCCCATTTTCAACCTCTGAATATTATCCTTTACCTTCAATTTGTTGTTTATGAATTTATAGAATAGACTTGGTTCTGTTTTACATTTGTCTGCAATCCCTTTTTCAAAATTTCTTTCTGCCTCTCTCCTCACTGCTGTGTAGTTGTTTCTCGCATCGTTGTATCGCTGGTATGTTTGGGGGTTTGCCTCTTCCTGTATTGATTCCATTTTTGTGTCTTTTGGTCTCTGGCCCTCTCGCAATTTCTGTTGAACCAATCCTGTTTCCTAGTTCTGCATCTCTGTTTTGGTATAAATTTTTTTGTGCCTTTATCATATATTTCACAAAACTTGACATACATCTCATTCACTTCCTTGCCTAGCAACAAGTCTGTCCAATTATACTCACTAAAAAAATTCTAAGGTTGCCATAATGTCCTCTCCTAAAGTCAGGTTTTTCAATTGCATCAACCTTCTTATTTTCTTCCAGATTATAATGCATTGCATACTTTATTCCCAAAAAGACATGGTCACTTTTACCCATGGGAGGAAGGTACTGAATATCAAATATTTCTTCCTTCTTGAAGGTCGTGCGGCGCTGGTGGAGCTGCTACGGCTTGCTTTCGGTTTTGATTTTCCTTTTGCACCGTTTAGCGAGTTGTTTCGGGCATTGTTTCACTTCAGGCCTGCTCATGTGCCGTCTGAGCCATCCTGGTCTTTGGGCAAGGTGCTCTCTTATATTTCTCTTCCCGTCGGTTTGATGTGGCTCCTTCTGTTCAGGAGGGTTTCTCAGAGGTTTCTGCTCTTTTGGGTTCTGGTGATCAGTTTGTTCGTTTGCAGTTGTCTCTCCTTCTCTGGCGAGGTTGGGATGGCTGTTTTCCGGAGGAGTCCCTGGGGTTGTTGCTTGGTTGGTTTGGCCGGGAGTGCATCTGCTTGTGTCTGGTTGTGGCTCTCGGTCATTGCCTGCGTGTCGTGGCCTCTGTGGCCATGGCTGCGCTTTGGGTTGACCCCGGGTTCCTTTCGTCCCTGTTCCAGGATTTGGGTCTCCCAGGTCGTCTGCGGGGTCATTCGGTGTTGCCAATTATCTTGCTTTCAGGTTTCGGCACATGGTTTCCGCCTCCCGGGTTTGTCCCTCTTTTGTGATTGTCTTTATAGTTCCGGGTAGTCAAATGGGCTTCCCCCAGAAAACCAGCATTGAATGTAATGAAACGCCATTTTCTGGGGGAGACCTGGAGGCTCCCGAGCATCCCTCCCTCCCTCCCCAGTTGGCGGCTTTTCTAGGGGAGCCCCTCCAGCTCCCTGGAGCTTATCCAGGCTGATATGCTAATGTCAGACTTTGGCATCAGTCATGTGTATGGAGTTCTATGGGCCTACTGGGGACCATGAGCCAGAACCTGGCCCTATCAGAGAGGCAAGGGGAGCAATGGCCTATAGAAACCCCCGTGTGGTTGGAAGCATTCTATGTCTGCCATCGACCGGGTCAGGCACCCAGAAAGGTAAGGGTCCCAAACCCCCCCCCCCCTGCCATGAGGGGAAAGGGAAAGCCTCAGACCTACCACGCCGGTTATCCATTGTCAGTTCTTCGGCTGATGCTATAGGCTGAGGTCATGTGCTCTGGCTCCGGCGGTTGTTTCAGCACTGTACCTAGTGTGTGGTGACTGTCTTCTAAGTGGTGCGTGAGCCGGTAGTGATTCTCCAGTACTCAGGCTGCATGCGCCTAGGGTTTTCTTTCTTAGGTCCCCTGTAAGTGCTGCCCTTGGGGCTTGGGGTTCCCTTCCACAAGTTCCTTGGGTTCTGCCCCTGCTAGGCCATTTACTGCTTGGTTTTCGGTCGCCCTTTGTGTGATAGGGGGTTCTGTCTCCCTTGTTCGCCTTAGGGTAAGATGTGTCATTCACATCTTGTCACTTGTACCCAAACGCAGCTGGAACTTGCTTAACTGTCTCCAGTGACCAGCTCCTCAAACAAGGAGATTGGCATCTGTCACCCATTGGAATTTTACCTTGTTTGTCTGTGCTAATTGTTGCAATGATCTTCTCTGGGTCACTCATGCCTTGCCCGCCTTGCAGTGCCTGGCTTAGCCTTTCCAGGTACGTTGGGTTCTCTCTACTCCCCTAGTTGTCTTCACCTAGTTGTGCTTGCTGGGGTTGAATTTTGGCTCTTTAGTCCAGCCCCTGTCACTCACCTGCCATTTACAGGGCCTATGTGCTTGTTGTGCTTCCCTTGTTGTTGTTGCCAGGGTTGCGCCCTGGGTTTTTGGTGTCTCCTGTCGTTCGGCTTGGGTCCAGCTCCCTGAGCCTACTGGGCTCTGTTGTATCTACACCTGAGTCTGTGTGTGGGGTCTGCTTCCACCAGGAAAGCCAGAAAGAGGTCCAACGTAGAAAGAGCACGCAGACGACACTACAAAAGAAAAAATTAAAGGAAATGCTGAAGCAGACACGAATTTCCATTCAAAGAAAAAATAATTTAAACAGGGAGGTTGAAGAAATCAAACAGAGACTGAAGCATTCATATCAGATTGAAGAAAGGCAACTAGAACAGAAAGCAATTCAAGAAATAAAGAAAACCCCAATATATTTCTTCACATATGCTAAATCAAGAGCAAAAACCACTGCCAGTATTGACCTATTCGTACTAGTGAAGGTTCATATACCGAGGATGACAAAGAAATTAGTGAAATCCTAAAAAAGCAGTATGAGGACATGTTTAGCACCCCGATAAACAACATGAAAGTGGAAGATCCGGACAACTTCTTTATGCGTGATATCCAAACACCTGTAAATATAACTGATATCAACATGAGCATGGCAGATTTTGAAAGAGAAATTGACAATATGCCCATGCACTCGGCCCCGGGTCCACACACATGGAATTCAATATTTATAAAGAAATGCAAAGTGCCGGTAGCACAGGCACTCAGTACAGTGTGGAGGAAGAGCTTGGACACGGGGGAGATAGCAGATGCACTTAAAGCAGCAGACATAGCCCCTCTACACAAGGAAGGGAGCAAAGCATTGGCAAAGAATTATAGACCAGTTGCACTAACGTCCCACATAATAAAAGTATTTGAGAGAGTGATCAGGAGTCAGGTCACTAGTTTCCTGGAGACCAATGACCTCCACAACCCAGGCCAATATAGATTTAGAGCAGGAAGATCATGCCTCTCACAGCTACTTGACCATTACAACAAAATCACAGAAGCATTAGAAGAAAAACAGAATGCAGATGTGGTATACATGGATTTCGCAAAGGCATTCGATAATTGTGACCATGGAGTGATAGCACACAAAATGGGGTCAATGGGAATAACTGGTAAAGTAGAATGCTGGATACTCGGTTTTCTGTCGAACAGAACACAGAGAGTAACAGTCAACCATATAAAATCGAGACCAAGCGCAGTTAAAAGCTTAGTACCTCAAGGTACAGTTCTTGCACCACTGCTTTTCCTTATTCTCATATCAGATATAGACTCAAATACAAGGCACATCTTCATATCATCCTTTGCAGATAACACAAAAATCAGCATGAAAATTATCTCTGCTGAAGATATTGAAAAACTACAAGTAGATATTAATTAATAAAGTTTTCGACTGGGTAGCAGAAAGTAACTTGATGTTGTACAGCGATAAATTCCAGGTGCTCAGATACAGTAAAAATGAGAACCTTAAACATAATACAGGGTACAAAATGGAATCAAATTTGCCTACAGTAGGAAAGCAACATGTAAAGGATTTGGGAATAATGATGTCTGATGACCTAAATTTTAGGGAGCATAATCAAGCAAATATTGCGGCAGCCAGGAAAATGATAGGATGGATTACGAGAACTTTCAAATCCAGGGATCCCATCACAATGGTTGTACTCTTCAAGTCACTTGTGTTGTCCCGTCTCGAGTACTGCTCAGTACTCACTTCCCCCTTCAGAGCAGGAAAGATTGCTAACATAGAGGGAGTACAGAGAATATATACGGGATACATAAACAAGATAAAGCATCTAAATTATTGGAATCATCTTAAAGCTCTCCGAATGTACTTGCTAGAAAGACAACAGGAGAGATATCAATTAATATACATGTGGAAAATACTGGAGGGCCAAGTCCCAGCTCTGCACAGTAAAATAAAAACATACTGGAGTGAACGATATGGAAGAAAATGCAGAATAGAACCAGTGAAGAGCAGGGGTGCCATAGGCACAATTAGAGAGAACTGTATAAACATCAGAGGTCCTCGGTTGTTCAACATACTCCCAGCGAGCATAAGAAATATTGCTGGAACAACAGTGGACATCTTCAAGAGGAAACTAGATAGTTTCCTCCAAGGAGTGCCGGACCAACCAGGCTGCGGTGGGTATGTGGGCCTGCAGGCTACTGCAAGCAACAGCCTAGTAGACCAAACTCTCACAAGTCAAGTCTGGCCAAATTCCCAGAACCCCATTAACCAGGTATCAACCACCACATCCCTTCCTCGTGCTTTCCTTTTGTTTCCTACTCTGACGCTGGAATCCTTCTGTCATTTCTTTTGCTCATTGGGCATCCGTTCCATCTGTGTCCCCTGGTACGTGTGCCCCTTATGTTTCTTGGTCTGTCTTTGTCTGCCCTCTCATTTCATCTGTGTGTCTTGCTTGTGGTGTTGGGTCCCTTCTTTCGTGTCTCAGTCGGGGCCTTGGTCTCAGACCTCCTGGCGTGCTCGTTGGCGTTGGAATGTTTTTTCTGTACGGCAGACGTTCCATCTCCTCCTTTGCTGGTTCGGGGTCCGGCTCTGCCTGTTCGGTGGTGTGCACCAGAGAGCTTCCCGTGGCGGGGCTGGTTCGGCTCCACCTAGAGTTCCGCCTTCTGTTGGTGGTCGGGTGGCTTTGTTGGTGGTGTCCCACCTGCGTGCTGCTTCTTGGCGGCAGTGTGGGATATTTTGGCGGTCCTTCCTTTTTCCTTCTGTCCCTTCTTAGGTAGCTGTGTTTTGTTGGCATGGTCTTGTCCTTCTCTTATTAGGGTTCGGGGCCGTCATTTTGCCGCATACTGTCGCCTCGTTTCGTGCGGCACTGGCGAAGCTGCTTCCACTTGCGTTGGGTGTTGATGTTACTTCTGCGCTGTTCCACAAGCTGTCTAGTGAGTTGGTTCACCTCCGGCCTGCTCATGCACCATCTGAGCTATCCTGGTAGTTGGACTGGGTGCTCTCTTTTCTTCTCCTCGGCTTCTTGTGGCATCCTGGATAAGCATCCGGGTTTTTTTTCAGGGGCTTCTTTCCTGTTAGCATTAGCCTCTGGGGGTCGGGTTGGTGAGTTTCATGCTCTCCTCTGGCTCTGGAGTTTCTGCTCCTTTGGCCAGGGCCGTTTTATTCTTCTGAAGCCTTCTCCTTCTTTTCTGGCGAAGAATGAGACTGCTGCTTTCCGGATGGGTCCCTGGGTTGTTGATGATTTGTTGGTTAGGCCAGGGGTGCATCATGTTTTGTGCCCGGTTGCAGCTCTCCGCCGTTATTGGTGCGCCACAGTTTCTGTGTCCGTGAACACGCTTTGGGTTGATCCGGCTTCCCTTTTTCCCTGTTTGCAGGTGCGGGTCTCCCAGGTCATTCGCAGGGTTATTAAGGCTGGCCAGCCTGCGGTCTATCCCCGTGCCCGTGACGTTCGCAAGTTCGGCTCTTGCTGCCGTTCTTTGGGACTGTGTCTTGGGCGATCATTCGGGCATGGGGCTTTTGGTGGTCGAATAGGGTCCTGGCTGCTCGTTGCCTTGTTCATGTCGGTGGATGCAACCAGTTGTCTCGGCTTCGGGTTGAGGAGTGAGCAGCGACCGCCTCCCAAGTTAGTCCCTATTCTTTCTCTGTGGTGAGTTAGCTCCAGGGGAGCCGAAGGGGCTCCCTCCAGAAAACCAGCGTTGAATGTAATGAAACGTCATTTTCTGGGTGAGATCCGGAAGCTCCCCAGCATGCCTCCCTCCCTTCCTCCGGTTGGCAGTTTTTTGCATTTTTTGACATCCAGCCTCAGAACTGATGTTGGATAGCCGATGCGGTAGGTCTTTGGCTCGCCTTTCCCCCTCCCGGAGAGGGGGGGGAGCTGCGCAGACAACGGCACGGCGATGTGTGACGTCATGATCGTTTGCTCGTTTTTTTTTTATGGGAGTTCTATCCACTTGTTCGGCTTGTGGTAGCAGTTTTCACCAGAATAGGGGTTTGTTTTGGAACGCTTACTTTTCTGGGTGCCTGACCCAGTCAATGGCAGACATAGAATCCTTCTAACCACACGGGGGTTTCTATAGGCCATTGCTCCCCTTGCCTCTCTGAGGGGGCCAGGTTCTGGCTCGTGGTCCCTGGTAGGCCCTAGAACTCCATACACATGACTGATGTCAAAGTCTGACATTAGCAACGGGGCCACGTAGCCTGGTGGATAGCGCGCAGTACTCGTAATTCTGTGGCGCGGGTTCGATTCCCGCACGAGGCAGAAACAAATGGGCAAAGTTTCTTTCACCCTGAATGCCCCTGTTACCTAGCAGTAAATAGGTACCTGGGTGTTAGTCAGCTGTCACGGGCTGCTTCCTGGGGGTGGAGGCCTGGTCGAGGACCGGGCCGCGGGGACACTAAAGCCCCGAAATCAACTCAAGATAATCTCAAGATAGCATATCATCCTGGATAAGCTCCTAGGAGGCTCCGGGTCTCACCCAAAAAAAGGCATTTCATTTCATTCCACGCTGGTTTTTTGCATGTTTTGACATCCAGCCTCAGAACTGAAGGTGTGGGTTGCCAGTGCTAGGAGTCTGGGGCTCCCTATTTTCCCTCCTGGGGAGGGGGCAGCTGCGCAGTTGGCGGCGCGGCGAGAGGTGACGTCATGCTCGTTTGCTTGTTTTTCTTTGGGGAGTTCTGTCCACTCGTTTGACTTTCAGTAGTACAGTAGTTTCAACCAGAATAGGGGTTTGGAGCATTCTGCCTGCCTTCAACTGGGTCAGGCAAAGGCAGACATAAACATTTGTTTTGGGATGCTTACCTTTCTGGGTGCCTGACCTGGTAAATGGCAGACATAGACTGCTTCCAACTACATGGTGGTGTCTATAGGCCATTGCTCCTCGTGCCTCTCTGAGGGGGGCCAGGTTCTGGCTCATAGTCTCCAGTAGGCCTATGAACTCCATTCACACTGACTGATGCTAAAGTCTAATATATTACATATCAGCCTGGATAGCTCCGGGGAGCCTCCGGGTCTCACCCAGAAAATGCATTTCATTACATTCAACGCTGGTTTTTTAATGAACATTGACCGATTTCTTTTAACTAGGTATGGTAAGTGTTGTATTATATATCCTAGAAGGAAAATTTAATTATATATTAATTTATACTACTTGTTGTACTGGTGTTGCACTCCGTATGAGTAAATGTGTTCAGGTCCAAACATTTGAAGTCTTCTACACATGGAAGCTGTTATAATAAAAATTTGTAATATACTAATAAATTCTATAAACAAATTAACCAAGGCATTTTAATTTACTGTATTACAAATAAATGAACACCATAAATGTTTGTATAGCATGCATGTGGTGATAAGTATTTAGTTTTTCAGTCCTTTTATAACTAATACACTGCACATTAATATGTATTTGTATTTTGTAGCTCGTCCAAGCATGACAGAGACTACAGCACTGGGAGCAGCGATGGCGGCAGGTGCGGCAGAGGGCATAGGTGTGCTTGACCTGACAAAACTCTCTCCGCTTACTACTGATGACTTCACACCAGCCATATTGCCTGAGGGTAAGTAAAGGCTTCTCATAACAATTCAGATCACTTTCTCAACAGGTCTTCTCATCCTCCTTAGTCTTCCATACATACATAAATAAATATACTGTATACTATATGTATATATATATATATATACAGGTAAACCTAGACAATCTGAATTACATAGATCTGGACCCAATCCAGATTTCTGGAAATTTGGCCATTTTTAGGTATTTACCAACAAATTTTTAGGATTTTTCTTATAGCATGTGATACTGATCTCATCATACTATACATGTTTATATGAATATATGAACAATTTAATAACATTATTTGTAAGGTACAAATGTAGAGAGAAAAGTTTACCTACCTTTTTGGGAGCACAGTTGGTCGTCATAAGAGTGTTAGCAGAATACACTTTGAATACTATACAGTACAGTACTAAGCCTTTCATTATGTACTGTAACTGTACACAGTTGTACATAAACCCCACACAAATAGCATCGTCCACTTGGTCATATTTACTGTACCAGTGTTTTTGTCACTACGTTCTGTGGGGAGCCCCGTTGGCTCCTTGAAGCTATCCAAACTGATAGTGTTATACAGGTATTAGTTTGGGGTCATCAGTCATAGGAGTCCTTTGTCTACCGGGGCCCCACAAGTCACAATCTGGCCCCCTCCGAGAGGCATCAGGGAGCAATGGCCTATGAGCACTCTACATTTATATTGTCATAATTACCATCGACCGGGAAAGGCACCTAGAAAGATAGGTGAAACAAAACAGACCACAATCTGGTGAAAATTGTGACCTACATCCGCAAAAAATTCCCCAAAAAAGAAAACAAACAACCAAACAACACTTCATCCAACTAGCACTCCTGCTCGTTACCTAAACCCCACCCCTCACCACCACCAGGGGAGGGAGGGCTGGGCCAGCAGCCCACCACTCAAGTTCTTGAACTGATGTGCTGGCAGTCAGACATCACCTCTGACCTCAAATTCCTGTTCTGGTTTTCCCCCGTGTGGCTATTCCACCTGTGTGTGTGTGTGGTGTGGTGTGGTTGCCGGATGTCGTAGCGTACAGGAGCTACATGCACCTAGGTTACCTTCCCTAGATGCTCCATGAATCCTGTCCATGTGTGTCAGGGCTATTTTCCTTGGGGCATTCGGGAATCACTCCCTATTGAGGGCTGAGGACTTCTTCGCGCCAGGTTGTCTTTTTTTCTGGGGGGAGCCCCGTCGGCTCCCCGGAGCTATCCAGGCTGAATGGATATGTATAACTTTCTGGCATCAGTCAAAGTGCTAGGAGTTCTTGCCTACCGGGGACCACGAGCCAGAACCTGGCCCCCTCAGAGAGGCACGAGGAGCAATGGTCTATAGAAACCCCTTTGTGATTGGGAGCATTCTATGTCTGCCATCGACCGGGACAGGCACCCAGAAAGGTAGGCGCCCCAAAACAAACCCCTATTCTGGTGAAATTATTGCTACCGAAAGCCGAACGAGTGGACAAAACTCCCCAAACAAAATTATCAAACTAGCATGACGTCATCACGTCGCCGCGCCACCGTCTGCGCAACCCCCCCCCCCCCCCCCCCGAGAGGGGGAAGGGGGAGCCCCAGACCCTCCACGCCGGCGATCCAACTGGCAGTTCTTGGCTGATGGTATTACTGGCTGGTCGAGTGCCTCTGGCTCCGGTTTTTGTTTCAGTTCTGTGCCTTGTGGTGTGGACTGTCTCTACCGGTGGGGTGTGAGCCAGGAGTAAGATTCCACGGTACTCGGGCTGCATGTGCCTAGGGCTATCTTCCCTAGGTGCCCTGTAAGTACTGCCCTTGGGGCTTGGGGCCACCTTCCACAAGTCACCTTGGGTTCTACCTCCACTATGATTACTGCTCGGTACTGGGCCGCCCTTGGAGTCGGCTGGGGTTTTGTTGCCCTGGTTTGTCTCTGGGTAGGTGGTAGTTTTCGTCACTGGTAGGGGCGCGGGGTACTGCACAGCTAGTTTTCACCATTAACAGCGGCCGGCTCTGTTCCGCCTGGGTACGTTGTCCTCTTGCGGGGTTTTTCTTTTGTTTTTGCCTGGTGGGGGGGGGGGTCTGCCTTTACTATGGTCCCCCTTCCTGTTCTAGGTGATTTGCTTTCGAATTCTTCTGTTGGCGATACTCCCCGCTTGGCCCCCGTGAGTGGACACGTCCCGGGGGTTCAGCTTTAGCAGTTTGTTGGTAGATTTGGGCGCCGGTTCGCGGTACCCTGCCTGGGCTTCCCTTAGCGTGTACCAAAGGCTAAGGGCCCTGGGAAACCCCACGGGGGCTCCGTGGTCCTCTAGGTGTGTCCCCGGAGTCCCCCTCGCGTCCTGCGAGTTGACGGTTGATCTGTCCCCTTGTCTCAGGGTGACACTCACCGGTTGTGCCTCCGCCATGCTGCCTGTTGGGTCCTTGTTCTTGTGACCCGGAGTCGTCCGATGATTGTTGTCGGTACGCGCTCTCCTTCACCCAGGCCACTGGTCTTGATAATCGGGTGCAGGCGGCTGCGGCGTTGCTTGCTGGGTGTGTTGCTGCAACGCTCTTGGTTTGCGGCCCCGGATGCCCCGAGGCTGCCCCGTTTTGGTGGTTGGGGTCTGGACTTGGGGGTGGGGGTAGCTTCGGGTCTGGCTCCTTCCGCTTCTAGTTCCTCCCCATCTGTTCTACTCACTTCCTCCCTTGCTTCCTGCTCCGAACCATAGGCGGGTTTCGGGGTTGGGGCGGGGTCTGGTTGGGTTGAGACTCGGGCGGTCTCGGGGGTTTTCCTCTTCCGGGGTGGCGGTGGAGGCATTCGAGTTGGTTCCTCCAGCCGTGCCATATGGGTCTGACCAGTGGGCTCCCTTCATTAGTGTTTGCACGGCTGCCCCGGCTTTTCCTTGTTAAGCTGGGGCTTTGGGGGTGTGGCTCGGCCCTGGGTCATGCCGTAGAGGTTCCCAGGGTTAGGGAGGGGTTGCCTGGGGGGCCTCAGCCCTGTTTGCCCCTCTTGGGTCCTTGTACCTTTGGTGTGGGGCTGGCAGTTCCTCAGTGGGGTTGTTCCTTCCCTCTGTGTTCCTGTTGTTTTCGGGTGTACCCCTCCCTGGGTTCGGTTCCGTGTTCCTTCGGGTTCGTCGGTCCCGTCGTTCCTGGAGGTGTGTTTCACCCCTTTTCCTTACCCTTTTCGCTCTTATGTCGCGATGCTGTTAAAAAAAAAAGTGTTCAGGTAAGGTACATCCATACAAGGTGTGAAACAAACGTTGATGGATTTCTATCTTGGCCTAGTACATAGTGCCTCAACCGTTTCGTATCATTGTACCTACAAGTTCCTTGGTCAGGGGTGCTTGTCGTGGTTCTAAATAAAAATTAAATATAATTGTTTATTTAGGTAAGGTACATACGTACTAGAGATTTTACAAAGAATGATGGATTTATAGATAGGGCTAGTACATACAATGCCTAAAGCCACTATTACGCAAAGCGTTTCGGGCAAAGCGTTCTCGTTGGTTCGCGAGTCTCTTCGTACCTTCCAATATTATTGGAACGTCTGTTGATTTTCGATGTGGTTTCCATCGGGTCTTTTGTCGGCCTTGTTGGTTCCCTTCCATCATCTGTTTTCTTTTGCTTCGTTTTCGCCTTGTTTTGTTTTCGCGTCGTCTCTACTTCCAGTTTCGGCGTTCTTTGTCTTCGTTCCGCACACCTTCCTGGTGTTTGTACGATGTCTGTACGTTGTGTGTACGATTTGTGTGTCCGCCTGGTGTACGAGCCACGCCTCCCGGTGGACGGGTGGTGCGTTTCGTACCTCGTGTGCTGGGGCCGCGGTGTGCGTTTTGTTTACGGGCGGTATGCTCGTGTGTTCGCGCCGTTTCTCGTGGTTTTCTACGGCTTCTTGCTCGTTTCTCCCTCCAGTCGTGGCCCTCTGGATGCTGAGGGTGTTTTGGATTTATATCTGGGGGTGTCACTTTGTTCTCCCTCTGTACTGCTTCGTCTTCTGCAGGGCGCGCACCTCTGGCCGTATTTCTCCTTCGACCTCGCATTTTCTTCAGGTAAGGGTACATACTATGCCTACTGCCTCGAGTCTGCATGGCTTTCGAGCACACCTTTAGCGCTGCTCCTGGTGTGTTGCTTGGCTCGCCTGTGTTGTGGCGCGGTCTTGTGTCTGCTCTGCAGGTGAGATTGTCTTGTCTGGCGCTTCTGTCGGCCTAGTGCTGGTTCTCACTTTTGGTGGGATGCTTGCCTAGTTGTGCTTGCGGGGGTTGGCTCTAGCTCTTGGGCCCCGCTTCTCCTGTCAGTTGACGGTTGTGCAGTTTCCTGAGCCTTCTGGGCTCTGTCTTCCTGTTTGCTCCTGTGGGTGGCTTCTGCCTCCTCCACATGGCTTTTTGGTGCTTTTCGCTTCCTTTCCCCTCTGACATTAATCAGGTTCTTTTATTGTCTGTGTCTCCTTGTGTGTACAAACATACGGACATAAGTACAGTGGACCTGCGGAGGGCCTATTGGCCCGTGCGAGGTTGCTACTGTTTCTTGCCATCCATTCCCACTCACATACATGTCCAACCCGCCCTTGCACCAATCGTGGGGCCCCACCACCACGTTACGTGGTAATTGGTTCCGCACATCACTGGGCCTATTACAGTGCAGGTCATTCATCCGATCTTTCCTGATTCTGCGCTTATCCCTTTTATGCCCGTTGTTTCGTGCCCACAATGTGTCGCAAGGGTGGCTTGTGCCACTATCCCAGTTTCTATTGTTTCGTGGGGATTGGTCAATAAACACAAACACTAAGGAACTACTTATCTTTTGTTGCGTATTCAGTAGTTGCGGGTGATATTTTGGCGGGCAATGGTGCGGGTTGGGCGCTCTGAGTGTCGGTACGGTGTCTCGCATGTCTGTTCTAGACCACACTTGCAGGTAGTCTAGTTATTCTTCGCTACTCTGCTGGTTATATGCTTGGGCGCCGCCTCACAGTTCTCCACAGGTTGGCAGGACTTTTCCTTGGACGTACGGAACGGTTTGAGTTCCATCGTTGGTGCTTTGGAGAGCTTT